ACAGTTGGACCCTCGTCGACAACCTGAATAGCTTATTCAGAAGCAGCGCTGGACCGGGAACGAACCAGCTTCTTCCCAGGCAAAAGAGTGACTTGTGAGGAATCACGGTCACACTCTGTGCATAGAGACTTTCTACTAGCCAGCCGGACTGCTGGTAGATCCCCTCGGAGCAACAACTGCCCTGTGCGCCGCATTCAGATTCCTCCGCCCGTCCTACTCTGAGCTGCACCTCGACTGGTTGGCCGGTAGCCAGAGGATGCTGGGACAATGCCCACTGGACAACCGCTGGAACGGAGGCTGCAACAGAGCCTGTCAACTGGTTTGGCATTCGTGCCGGGAAATTCCAAATCCATACACAGTGGATAAGTAAACCCCATGTTCTACATTGCGTCTCGAGAATTCAATTGTACCTCAATACAAGTTGTTATCAATTTAATTCATGAGTAATGTATTTACGTCCGAGTTTAGAGTAACTGTGGGTAATAACACTGTTTAGCGATTTGGTAACCGAACGATATATATTGACATATATCCTCTGTTGTGTATCTCTTTGTGTTGGCATCTCTTCGAGATTATATACCTTGTGTATTGATAACCCTCACAGTAAGGTCTGCCGCTTGTATCCAGGCAGACTAGTATATGTTTGGTGCACAATTTATATTAATAAATGTATCTCGTGTATTGAACCCGTGTGTGTGCGTTGTTAGTTGTTCTGACATTTGATTTTCTAAAAGCCACAACGAACCACCTCGTGATTACTGCTACAATTAATAATTGTCTCAGTAAAACCATCAAATAAATAAAGTACCACAGGATCTTTATTAAGTGTTCATGCAAGGCTAAACTCTTAGATTTTCAGGTGTACATTAACAAGATACACTGGAAATTCTATCCATTAAATGAAGGAAGAGAGAAAATAATTTATTCAGGACTCATATTAGGTGGATTTAAATTATTGAACTTGAATTGAAATCAAGCAAAACAGAGCTAAAAAAGTAAAAATATCTAAATGTCTAAATGTCTAAAGATTCAAAACAAAATATTCAACTTTTTCAAAAATACTATTGAAATGTACAGATGCAGCCATTCAAAACAAGCGGGGTATGCCGCGGTAAAACGCAGTGGGCGTGTTGCGGTATAACACGTTATAACTTGTCATACCGTATAATACCATAATAATACCGCAAGTAAGATAATAGTATCCAGAATTACCGCCAGGTGGAGCTAATAAAGCTCAACCTCTCATGTACAACATTTGAGCTGTTGCTAGAAAACACCCGGATTTGACTCCCAATCACTGCTGAGGGACAATCTTTATTCAATTAAGAATTTAAGTTGTATACTGTATTACAGCATGTTAATCATTATACATTAAAATTGGTATATTTTATGAAAGCAAGATTGATCAGTTGGACAAAAGTACACAACCTACCACCTTTATCATAAATATTTTAATTATGCAGAAATATCTTACACATCAAAGTCTTTACCGAAGATATTACTAGTAGTATTAATAATGAATGACCTTGGACAAGCTGTAAACTGAAAGTATTACCCTGGTGCACATTCTTTGTAACCGTCTTTGTAAACGGAAATACTTTATTTTTTCATTGACAAAAACTAATGGGAAAGATGGTGACTATTCATTGTTATTAAAAAATGACTTATTGTAGATTCGAACAAGTTGTGATATTTAGAAATATAAAAAGGTCAATAGAGTGTCCATAATATTGCTATTTTAGTTTTTCAAAGAAATGTTTGTTAAAAGAAAACTCATAGCGATAGCTGGATTTGAACAGCCAACTTCTCGCTTACAAGTCAGGCACTTAAACCATCATACCACTAACACAGTCACATGACAAGTGGTGAAACAGCCGTACACATATCTATTGATATGTGTATATACTACTGTTTGTGTTACAGTACATGAATATAATTATATCGTTATTAATTTCTTTCGATACGCGATTCCAAATTATATTCCCTATTAATCAAATTCTAAAAGTATGCTTGTTTACTCCGATCGAGCGTATTCACAGAAAAACTTAAAACTCACTTTTCTCACAAAGCACTGTATACTGTATAAACGTATAGTAACATGGTCAGAAGGAGCAAGGAGCACATAAAAATGCTTCCAAAATAACCACATGTAAGACCCTGATGCTTAAACTGTTTATAGAGAAATGGAATACTGGTGTGTATTTTTTCTTTAAAATATCAAGACCAGCAATATACAGTTTACATAATATGTTTATGTTCCTAAATTAATATAGTTTATGACCTTCAGATGCGTTATGCTCCTATTCTTTTTATGGTCAGCTACTAAAATTTCCCTTTAGTGGTAAAATTCTATATAAGTATTCAATACTTGCGGATTAAAACATGCACAGTAAAGACATTAAATGATTGAATCTTTCCACGACCGACCATGCACCACGAATTCCCCTGTCGGTCATTTTGGCCAGCCAATCACGTACCGCGGAATGACGCGGTATGACGCGTTATGAAGCGGTATGACGTAATGATTTGCCCGCTGTACGGGTTTGTACCGCGCACTTTGAATGGCTGCATCTGTACCTACAGTACTGCAAAAGCACTGAAATGTGCCTGCATTATGATGTCTGTACTATTTGCTTTTCCTATTTCATTGTAGCAAAAACTATTTTTTGGTGCCTGAATAGGTTAGTGTGTTGTACACCCATGGATATTTACCAAGCAGTTCAAAGACTACATGTTTTACCTACTGTATGTAAAGTTTAAGAACTTTGAAAGTTTGGAGGACCTTAAGTAGTTTTAAACATTGACAAATGTTTGTCTTTAGTTCCTTCTTATCTATTTCTTGTAAAGTAATTGTGATACAATAATTATGTAAGCCTGGACTGACATTTTAGACAGCTGCTGGTGCCAATCATCATTAAAGAACTCTTCCTTAAGTTCCACTTTCCTTTATAATACTAGATAAAAACAAATACAATTATAACAGTTATTACTTTATATTTTTTAGTCCACAAATTTGTTTTTGGAGTTAAATCAATTTTTGTATTTATAGGCAAACAGTACATTTTTTATTCTTAGTCTTATGCACTTTGTATTGACTACCTTGCCTTAATTTATGTTTCATTTTAGAAGTTTTACCACGTAGAGACTGCTTTCCAAAATAGATTATATTTTTTTTTACAATTAATACTTACATTAACTGTCAGATACTTACTGTTCCCATACATGTGTCCTTTACATCCACCCAGACTGAATCGGCCACAACTTCGATTTGTCCACCTTTTCTGAGGTAATAATATGCCACAAACCGGAAAGAAGGAATCATTTCTTTTTCAATGCGCAGTGATAATGTAACCAAGGACTGCCCAGGTAATCTTGCCTGTTTTCCAGCTGTCATAATCTGTCCTTTGTTTACAATCTGTTGAAACACAGTGAAGTTACAATTACATTTCTAAGATTCTAATAAACCTCAATGGAAAACAAAAAACTTAATTGATAGTCTTCACACTAGCTTGAAACTGAAGACAGGATTGAAAATATATATTCAGACAAAATCAGGCTGATCTGCTTTGTCACCGATATCTCTAGGTGATGAGCCAGAGTAAAAATACTTCTTTACAGTACAAAGTCTTATTCATATTATGATTACCTTGCAGGTGAAATGTCTGAAATAAGTCATAAAATGAATGTGCAAAAAACATCAGCATATGAAAGGAACAATTTATACTGTTGGAATAAATTCCAGCTGTAACACTGTGGTATCCTTTATCAGGAAGAGCTGAGACAGCAGGGATGCAGTTGGATATGCAGTCTGCTGTTTATACAGGCTGTCCTGGAACAGAGCATACAGGCTGACTGGAAAGGATCCTCCTAGGAAACAGGCAGATGGGCTGACAAGATCAGGGATGCCCGAGAAACAACTGACAGAGTAAGGGCTTCCTGGTAAACATACAGAGGTATCACCTCTGGCCATGTGCTGAGATGGAACTTACCTTTCAGTTTCAGTGAAAGTGAATATCAAGCAGAGAACTAATTGGACTGCTTTCAGTAGTTTAATGTCAGATAACTGGTAAAGCACTGAATTAGCCTTAAATGTGATGTTTAATTTGTAGCATGATAGGAAGATTGCTGCCTTTTTGATAGGCAGGCAAGTGGATAGACCTGGGGTCTGGTCTCATTCTCACTGAGATGGCTTGAGGGCACTTGGGAGAATGCTGCGTTTACCCATGGCAACTTCACATTGCAAGCGTGACACCAGTCATTTTAGAATTGCCTATACACTTAAAACAATTTAGTGTTTCTTTGTTTGAATTTTTGTTTCAATAGTTTGATCAAATTCTAATGACAAAATAACCCAGTTTTAAATTTTAGGTTGAGAAGCGGTCATAATCAGAAACCTCTTAAAAATCATCTTTTGTAATCATCTTAAAACTCATCTGTAGTGTTTTACACTTTGGGAGGAAAGGATAAAATATAATGAACTGAATGTCATGACTTATTGCACAACAATTTCGTATGTTCTTTTGTGAAAATGAGGACCTTTTAGACAGACTTCAGGGGATTCAATTAGACAACTAAATACACACCTGATATGAAAAATACTTTATTTGATCCTGGACTCCAGCGTCATTGCCTAGATTCAGATTAACTTGCAGATTTGTTCCTGGTTCCAGTTCAGCTGCCTGGATTCCAATATGAAGGTAGTTTTTAGAATTCAGTTGTGTCCTATAAGGCAAGGCCTCCATGCTTCCTGTAGCTTGGCGATCAGGAGTGAGATTAGGAGCTTTAGTTTTCACCTGTCAAAAATCACAATGTAAGATAGAGGCCATTACAGTCAGAGATCACAGGGATGATTATAGATGAACTGAAAGATCATAGCCTTGAATCCCAAATTATTATTTGAATTCATATTTGAATAGCAATTTTATACATATTTAACACATTGAACATGAGTTCCTAAAACAGCATGTAGAACATACAGTGATTGGTAGTCGTGTAGCATCCCCACGTGTGTTAACGGTCATCTTTGTTGTTCCTTGTTGTTGAGTTCTGCCAGAAATTTCTGGACTTATTTCAACATCAATGTTGCTTGCTGGCGTGCCATCTGGATTTGTCACGAGAACCTTTGGGAACAGAAATATTTTATTAGGATACAGAGATAAAAAAGTAGATTTCATTATTAAAGGTTTTCTTTTTCTGTACACTGTGTGATAAAAAAAACTCTCAATGTCAGAAATAAATGTAAAAGATGGAATATTAAAGAAGAACAAGTTTAGTAAAAATCTCTTTTAGTTGTGAAGCTTATTAGCCTATAGTGGATCTGAAAATTGGAACTATACTGATATTTCATTTGTCCATTGTCCTTTTGTTGTTTTTGACATACACATGTAGTGATATGATGATGAACAAACTAATTTAGGGTATTTAGGGTATTAATAAGAGCACAACATCATTTGCTAAGAGAAGATTTGAATGTTATAAATTTTAAAATGAAACAGAAACCTTTTTTTTTCTACCTTTGAAACAAATTCCTATATGAGTTTAATGATAGAATATGCACATATCCACTATATGCAGTTATGTTAAATATCATAGTAGCATTGCTGATAGTGTGAAATTACCATGACATCAAAGGGCATTCCAGGCTTGAAGTACTTGGGAGTCTTTGTGAAATGAATGGCATAAGGGGACTGAACAATTTGGATGCCTCTCCTCTCAGCTTCCACTATATCACTGCCTTTAACAAAATTACAAATATAATATTAAGGTATGAATACAGAATTTTACATAGAAACATAAACTCAGTGACTCATTGCTCCTCTACATTTTTATTATTTGAACATTTCTGGTTGAGAGGAGTCAAACTTTATCTTAAAATTATAGTGACAAAACTGATTTTAAAATTATGTCCATAACAAATTTAACATAATACTTAATTCTAGATATATCTCTACTCTATGTTAAAATTTTATAATACAGCCTTTTCACATATTATTTTTTTCATCATTGATTTATTATATATACAGCTATTTTAAAGGAGACTGGAATTATTCTTTGGAATCCATATTGGAATGAATAAAAACAAATCTGGTGTTAAGTTCATTCAACTGTTTCCTAATGTCTGAGTCATGAACCTGGATGTTTTCCCTAATGGATTAATTAGGGAATTATCAACACTTCTATACTGTGAAATACAGATCCAGCCATTCAAAATGGCTGCGGTAAATCGCAGTGCATGTTCAGCAAGGAAATACAAGGTACCAAATGTTTTTTTAAAATAGGGTGAAATACCTTGTTAAACTGCTAAGTGGTGCTGGGAAAGCTTAAAGTCTCATGTGCAGCATTTGGGCTGTCGCCAAGAAAATGCACAGTTTCGAATCCTGGTCAAAGCTGAGGGACTATCTTTTGCCAGTCAAAGAATTTAAGTTGTATACTTTTTTTTACTTTTAATTATTTTAAACTGTGTATTACAGCATGGTAAACATTAAACTTATTAAAAAGTAGGCATATTTTATAAAAGCAAGATTCCTCAGTTGGACAAAAATACACAACCTTCCACTTTCTACATACATTAATTATATGTATATTATATTTTAATTATATATATATGCAATAAATATTCTATGCATCAAAGTCTTTAACGTGGTAACTTACAGTGGTTTGTTGTTTTAACGTGCTTGTTCTAACATTATAAAGCTTATACACTGTACTTCATTAAAAGTTATAACATTTTATCCTTTTCTAAGAATACGTACTGTAGTAAGAACACCACTTGCTGTTATTGTAAAAAAGTAAAGTTGTACAGATTTAATACCACTTGATAGTAATATTAATATGGAGTCGTGTAACTAAGCAGCTAAAATATCACAAGTGGACATTTTAGAAAGATTTTGACATTGGCTTTAAAAAAAACTTTATACATTACCACTTTATAGTGGTAATGAAGAACAGCTTATCAATATGTTTAAACTGTACCATGACACTGAAGATGTGTTACATCTTTAAGAAAGCCAGTGACTGTTGTTTACTTTGTTGTGACAATGCTGTGTGGCTCTGTTGAATTATTCTGTAAACTGAAGAGTTATAGAGGAGAGTTATAGAGGAGACATACTGTATATCGTCTTTTCTTATATTTCTTATATAAGGACCATTGACGAGATGTAAACTGAAGAGTTACAGAGACGATACGTAGAGTCTTGTCTTTTCATCTTGGAATTTAACCTTTAGAGCAATCCTTTTGGCTATATTTTTACATAACCAGATGTATGAAAATAGTTTGTTATTATAGCTTGTTGCGAACACGATGTGCCTCTCCAGATTTATATTCAAATTAAGAACAGCTTTATTTTGTGTTAATACAGATACTGCACTGTAGTGGCTTTCATACCATATGGTATCATATTTTATATACAGTATACAGTATACGATCACACTGCCGTTCATTGCTGTGTGAGCTACTATTTCATCGAATCTGTGAATCTCACTTCATGGGATTCGAGTGTGTGGAACAGCGGGAGGCAAGACCTGGTGAGGGAGGGGATGGGATGATTATTTTCATTATGCTATGAATGAGTCGCTGAAGAATACCGTTCAAATTTCAGAATTATAACAAATAAACTTTTGATGAGTTTGCACAAGAGAAAAAGGTATTTTTTCAGAAGTTGTGTATTGCGCAAAGTAGGTGAATTTGACAGCTACTGTAGCTAAAGAATTTAAAATCTATCTGACTGTACTTTAGATCTCATGTAATTGGGCAGAAAGTCACCTTGCTCTCACAAGCGGCTCTGTTAAATTTTGTGTTAACAGACTGCACCCATTTGAATGGATTTGTCTCACCTATATCACATTTGTCTTTCTGGGGCGAGGAGGTTGAATGCCTTTTAACATCTAATATGTCACTAGCAAACCAAGAGACTAAAACCCACTATCTGCCTTGAGACATTTCTCAGACTGCTCCAAAGTGCAGAATAAAATCCACTAAATTGACACCACAATTACCCATAATACAGACTGCAGTACCATAATACCTGTAATACAAAGGACCACTACAAACTAAAACCAGCAGCACCCTGATTATTAATTTATTATTTTTTATAAAACCGCTAACATCGACACAGGTGCTGCTGCTGTTCATAGCCTCTCAGTAATTTAAAATGTGCTGAACTTCTTTTAACTTTTAACACCTAATCACATTTGTCTGTCCAGGGTGTCGCTATGAGAATGTGAATGTTTTCCATCCCCATCCCCCAAGCAAAACTATCTATTCTACATAACAAACATAATGGGGTGTAACACTACTAGCCTTTGTGACAAATAAAATATTTGTTAAAGTACAGAACTGCGTTACATAAAGTGGCTGCAATGGACTACATAAAAGTTAATTCCAAACTGAAAAGAAAAACCTCAACATGTCTCCTCTGTAACTCTTCACCTTACAGATTGTCCAAGATATTATTAATATCTTCCATATTGCATTAAAAGTTTAACATTTTTACAAGTTTAATCCACCAGTCTATATATTTTCTAACCGCCTTATCCAGGACAGATAGCAATCTCACCTATAACATTTGGTTATTTTTTTAACGATTTTGACAGACTTCAGAATGGTTCAGCTGATGCACAGAAATGTAGCATGATGCATTGTCCCATTATTATTATTATTATAATTATTATAATTATTATTAAGTCACTTACACCTGCGATCCACTTTATTCAAACTAAGGTTTCTAAAAATGTAACCAGGTACTAGATATTGTTTAAATAAAAGCTGTGAAAATGTTTACATATTGCAATCTTTAAAATGCTGTGGTTTGAAGGCTCGGTGTCATTTTACACAAAGTTATTGACATCTGAAACATAGTATCTCATAAATAGGCGTTTTAATTAGAGAAGGTTATGAAAACCGGAGAAAACAAATGACTCTGAAAAAGATACAAGAAGTTTACATTTGTATTATTAGTATTAATAACAAAAATTAGTATTAGTATTTTTATAATAAGTAATAAAAGCAGTATTATTATTAAATTAATACTGTTAATAATGATCAGACACATTATTATAGTTTCAGTGGTATTTTTATACCGCTTTGTTATTCTCGATTCGAATTATAATATATACGATTTCGTTTTAAGGCTTGTTGTAAAGGCTTGTGTTAAATTGCCTTTCACGTATTCACGTTTGCTCATTCATGTTTTTATTTAATATCACTTAACATTGAATATCTTATATAAAAAAACAACTTTTTAATATAGTGTACATAATATTAACTATTTTATATTTTAAAAAGGAGTCTTTGTTTTTTAGAAGAACAATTTGTTCCCAAACCAGGCATTGAACTCAGAACACCTAGACAGAACCTCTGCTGTACCTGCTGTACCAACGGGCTACTCGGAAACACAGCTGAGACAAACAACTTAAAATGTTTCTAAACGAATCATGTGTGAATGAGTCAAATTAAAAATAAAATGTGCTTACAAAGAAAGTGGATTACAGTAATACTACCAGCTATATAAATACATATATTTAGATCCTTAAATTAATAGCATTATTAATTTCTTTAGATAATTTTATTTCTTATTTAGCGGATTCTAAAAAGTACACATTTTTTTACTGCGATAACAAGCGTAAGTATTAATAGATAAGGTTAAAACATATAACTTTTTATAAAGTATATTAACTTAATATAGCCAGAATGAGCACGTCAAAATGTTTCCAAAATAACCACAACAAGTGACCGAGTGAAAGACTTTGATGCATAAAATGTTTTTGAAGAAAGTGGAATACTGTTGTATATTTTTTATTTAAACTGCCACTTCCATCCATATACAGTTTACATAATATGTTTATATTCCTAAATTAATATAGTTTATGACACTCAGAGACATTAAGCCCCTCTTTTTTTATGCTTATCTAACAAATTTCCCTTTAGTTGTAAAATCCCACATTAATATTCCATATTAAGCTGATTTCAACATGCATGGTAAAGAGATTAAATGAAGCAATCATTACACTCACAACTAATACACCACAAGTGCCACCTGTCGTTTTTTTTGGCCAGCCAATCACGGACTGCGATATTCTATGGTATTCTGGAGATACATTCCCAAAGTACCCCATATTTTGAATGGCTGCATCTGTAAATAACCATTTTTTCACCATATTAATTTGGAGTTGACAAGATCTGCAGGGTCTCTACAGTTATGGGTGATCTTGGAAACTTGCATAAAATCAAAATAGTCCAGGTGTATTCAAAATTACTATGTTTTGAATCATATTAATTATCAAAGAAAAATGACTAAGTATAACAAGTTGATACATTTCAATAAGGATAGGCAGTTGGTTTCTTAGTAGCAAAACATCCCCAGAACTTATCTGTTTAAAGTCTGAAACATTTAAAACAATACAAGCTACTCTGCCAACTTACCCTTCACCTTGAACTTTCTGAATTAAGTTTTACTTTTAAAAAGAAGCTTCAATGAAATTACTATTGTATTCTACTCTGAATTATGCTGTAGTGAAGACTAAAGTCAAATTCACAGCAATTCACTAGAAACATTTTGTTTGACATGGACCAAACATCTAAAAAAACAAAATAGTATAGATTCAGAAAATGAACTTCACAAATGTCAACAGCATTTGTGTCTGTTGATGTTCCAACAGTTTTTTTTTCACATACATCCTTTGCCAATGTCTTGCACGCTGTCTGAAAATGTTAAAGAAAAAGACTTACCAGTTGATGTTAAAACTGTTGCAGATACATAGATTGATTTTTTAAGTATTTCCTTCATTTCTTTGTATATCTTTAAAATATGTTGTCTTTTCAATGTGGCTGTTCCCTTTCCAGCTGTAATCTGAAATAGAGAACAAATTAATTAAATTTGTTTGTTACATTGTGCAATTTTTTACACTTTTCAATGCCATAAATAAGCCTGTCCATCATTAACTCCATTGAGCCAGGACGCAAATCAATGCAAATCAAAGGAAAGTTCATGTGATTACTTTGAATCATGAATGACAGGGAAAAAATAAGTTTCAGCCATTTTTAGGTCTTTATCTTAATTTACAATATGTTCACTTTTGTTTACTCAGAACTAAAATGATTAATTTTGGTCCACATATAACTAACCTGTATACAGTATGTGTAGTTTATTGATCTGTTTAAAATATCTTGTAATGTATATATTGTGAAATGATACATTAGTTATATATTGTTAAATACAAACTTTAATGGCTATTGAATTTTACTACTCTTTGCTTCCTCATTGATAGTTATAATTGTAATGTGTCACATAAAACATTTAATTATTTGGATTATAAAGTGTGATCAGGTGTCAGTAACATGTCAATGGTGGAATTCATCAGTGTCTGTGCAAGTCTGAAGATGCATATCTGTGGGGTGTAAATGAAAACTTCACTTTACTCGCTGGGGAATATTATAAAACCCTCAAAGACTGGATAATGTGCAGGCAAATCTAAGGTGTTCAAAACAATTTTTGGTTTCTACCAAGCAAGTAAGAGTTTACTAGTTTGAGTAAGCAGTTGCATCAGCCTGTGTAGGCTATAAAGAAACAGATAAAGGTTTATTTCATGCTAAAGGAAAACAAAAGAAACACAGTGTGAAGCTTCAGGTGTGAAGCCTTCTTCAAGTGCGAGGGAGAGAGAGAAATTGGCATGGGAGAACAACAGACAGGGTAGTTAGCAAGGGGCACGGAGAAGGGGAGAAAGAACATCGACAATCAGGGAGAATGAGAGGAGAGGTATGAAGCCAAAACCAGCAAATGCATAAAAGGATTTAGAAGGAGACAAGTCTGTTCTTGAGAGGAGGGGGAAGGTATGATCCTAGCTTCAGGATAATTTTGGTTAGGGATATAATCTTTGATCTGACAGTTCTGATATGTTCCCAGAAATGGACTGCCAGTCTCCTTCTTGTCTCACCAATGTAAATAGCTGGGCATTTTCTGCATGAGATGCAGTAAATAGAGTTGCTGGAAATATACGATGTCATCTGCATAGTCTGGAATTGTCCAGAAGGGCCGTGAACAGTTTAGTACATTAACATATCCCTTTAGCCTAAAGACAAAGTGAGGGAGAAAGTGTTTCCATTTATGTGGGAAAGGAAGAAGTTAAAAGTGGACCCCTGACACCCTTCAGAAAGCTTTCATTTGATCAAACTACTGTTGTTTTAAAAATATCTACTGTTGCAGGAATGGTGTTTACGCCTTAGATTAGATAGAAATGATTTTTTTATATTACTTTTGTCCTTGTAAAAGAGCACCAATTGTTGTGTGCGCTAACTTCAGTGATTCCAGTGTGTAATCAGACCCTTGTTATGTGGTGAAAATGGGAAAATGGGAACTTGATTCTTACTTCTATTCGTTGAAGGGAGTCTGGGAAGCTTCTCTTTTCATCATTGTCCAGCACTACTCCAAACACCACATATGCAGACCCCACGACATCTTTTCCGTACAAGTACCTAATGTAAACAGTACAGGAAATGAAAAGGGCTGCAATCAGGTGTATGTTGAGGCAGTCATCTCTTCAATTATAGTGATATTTATGTTTTTCTTTAAGCAAAATTCCATCCCGTTTTTATTTCTTAGTAGTTCAATAACATTCACAGAAAAAGAAAAACAATAGCCAGTATAGTTTATATTATATCTGTAAAAATTTTCAGGGGCAAGACAAATTGTATAAAACTTGGCTGTGCTTTCTGCGGCACATAGACATGACATAGGATCCATGAGGCTTGGCTTTCTGTTAGAGTGAGACAGTTTTAGTCCATGCACATTTACATTTGTTTCTAGAACATATGACACTCATGACAGTAAGCCATATTTAGGAACTCTTCAGCAAAGCATGTTTCATTTTCTCTGTTGCATGTTTTAACTCACAGCATCACCTGTTTTGACTGCTCATGACTGACGAATACATTTGTATAATTCAAATATGATGAAAGGGTGGCAGGCAGGTTGGCGTTGTCATGTAATTTATCTACAGTATAACTAACTACAGTATGACAGGTGGAAGACTCTCTTCCCTGGAACATCACACCATGGATACTACAGTACATTTCCTTACAATGACACATGTGCTCCAGCAGGAGGTAAGACCACATTGTTAAGGGCTATACCTGCTTAAGAAATTTCTGGCAGCATCTTGTTGGAGGAGTGTTAGTTTGGAGGGCTAGCTGTTGTTTATAAATGGTGTTTAACTACAAGTCTGTTACTTTTCTCCAGGAAGAGCAGGACTGTGCCGTGAACCTTGATACACAGGATTGGATACACAAGTCGTTGGTGGTCTCATGTATTGACTGGATTGTAGGAGAAGAGATCCAGTTCCTGTTCCTAATTTGTTCAGTTGTAAAAGAAGGCAATAGATTTAATTTACAATGATTTCTGTACTGAGTTGCCTATTGTTAAAAATTAACACTTTTTACTGTATGTATGGCTCCTGTCACATATATCCTTAGATATTTAACCTTGGAAACTGAATCTTTCTCTCTTTGTATTTTATATTATCTTTATTTTATATAATAATTATTATGTGCATTTATAAAGTATGTTTTATCTCAAGGGATCCCAGAGTGCTTCATATATAAGAGTCATGTGAGAGAGATCAGACTGAGCAAACATAAAGGTGTATTCAGCCAGGACAGCAGGGTTACTTCTTTATTGATTAAGTGGTAAGGATCTCAATTTAATATTTTCATAGACCCCATTCACCAAGAGAAGGGTCCAAAACTATTTTAATTTGAAGCACAAAATTTATTTAGATTTGGACAATATTGTTACCATATACTCTTAGAACTACCTTTACATGTCTCTGTGTACCTATACATTTGTATTTGTATATGAGGCTAGGAGACCCATTGTGCACTTCATCAATGAGGTGGACTTGAGGGCACAAATAATCTAATCAGGGTTCTTACAACTTGAGAATATTTTAACCTCTTTGAGAAATTTATATTGTATAATTTCTGTTCTGTTGTATAATTATGTTTGTTTTATTCATTTCAGGGCTGGAGATTAACATAACAATAACATTTCAATTTATATTGTTTATATTTACTTTGTATCTTCTTGACACAGTATGGAGGTTAATTGTAATATAAGAATAGAATTTACAAACAAAACATATTTATAATATAAGATTTGTTTATAATTACCCTACCTGGCAGTTACTGAGACAGTAAGTTCTTCATCATCAATGTAGAAGAACAGCTGATGTGGTTCCAGCTTCACTTCAAAATTTGGCAGTACTAGACAACAAGTAAATAAGTAGGATTAGATCGTTTTTAAAGGTTTGTCTACATTTCTATTCAATACTGTAGTATCAAAGGTATTAAAAACCATGAAAGCAAATTAGCATTTATTATATTTAGTATTTTAAGTAGTATAAGTATTTTATTTATATTCTATTCATTTTTTAATATGTTTGAATGTAATTAATTTAGCACCTTTTCAAACTAATATTGGTTTGACATAAGGCCAGAAAAAATATTATATACACAAAATAAAATATAAAAAATGAATGTTGAATTCGAAAACAAAATAAAAGGCTTACCATATTCCTTTACTTCAAAATCAGCTGTAAAATTTTTCTGAGGTGTACTTTCAAATTTTGTAACAACTTTCCATGTTCCCGTACTAGAGAAAGAAAAAAAGAATTGTCATACTCTGTATAGAAAAACTAGGAAAGATTAACATTCCTAAATTAAATAATAACATAACATAAATTAATAAACACAGAACAACTTTTTTTGTGTTCCAAAACCTTGCCTCTTCTTTACCTTAAAGTCATCATTTATCAAAGTGCTTAAAAAAGTATGTTCTGTTTGAACTCCTGACTCCACCAAACACAGCATCTCTTTCATCGTTCAGAATTCTGTTCATTGTGTTTTGATTGAGGTGGTGAAAGAGACAGCAACTACAGCATCTGTACGCTTGTGGGTGAAGAAAAATGTATGTGTTATTTTAGGGTGGGGTAACAACCTACCTTTAGAGCTACAGTGTATCAGAGATCTGATCATATGTCTAGTCATGGCTCATCTATTCGTGCTATTTGTTTCTGTATAAAGCATTTAATCTGATTGTGGTTGAACCTGGCTTTCTGTATCTTTGTTACAGTATTTGGATACATCAACAAGGTCCCCATTTTAAAGCGGGCATCTCCAATTTATACTGTATATACAGTATATTTGTGTGTTTCCAATGGGCATGTCTATGTGTGGGTTGCCTTCACAAGTTCATGTTGATCAGTTCCTTCACTATTATAAACACAATTTCAATTAACAGGAAGCTTACCTAAGTATTTCTGGCAGCTTATATGATCCTGAAATAATTCCATTGGCTGAAAATAAGAGGTCTTTCTGAATTACAATACCATCAGGAGTCTGAAAAAGAGAAAAAAGAAGAACACGTATTAGTTCTAATATATACATACTATATACAGGAACACCCAGATGGTAACTCTGCTGTAAAAATAACCTTTTTCTGATTTTTTGTGATGTGTGCCTCAAAGAGTGATTTTTTATTATTTCTATGTCTCAGCATGGGATTAAGCTCTGCATGTCCCACACTGACACAGCTCATGTCTCAGGACTCCTCATACAATACATATCAATATATATATAAATTAATACATATGTATGTACATATAAAAACACAGATGAACTAAATAAATGCAAAACTCACATGTAATGGCTTCAAAGCATCAATCAAACATTTTAAATATAAATATTAAACAAATAATACTGGCAATTCAAAAGGACTATTGACTTTGACTTCCTGAGTATTGCACAATCTTCGCACATCATAACTACCCATATGATCATACTAGATATTTTAAGAGGTTACATTTCTGAAGTGTTTCAGAATACATTTACACATACTGAACATTGCAAATGCCTAAATATCAAAACTAGGTAAAATTCCTGCTTAATTAATGGCAAACTTAACAGTTTTACAATGGTCCATTCCTGATTTAGTTTAATTCTGTAAAATAAGAGCAATAAATACTTTACCATGATTTCAACGGAAACTGAACTTTTACTAGGATCCAGACGATTGGTCAGGGCAAAAACTCTATAAAGAACTGAAAAACAAGATCTCTGTGAAATATACAATATAGTATTTCTTTATTTTATTACGCTATAGATACAATTCAAGTAAAGCTATGTAATTGATTTTAATTTAAAAAAAACATTTTGATAGTGCCTGGCAAGTTTGAGGAATTAGTGTTTCTCTGGAATTTAAGCTCATGGCTGTCAAAGACCCACTATTTCTTATGTAAAATAATCAATTAGCATTGCTTTGTGGAATATTTTTTGCAAAAAAGGTGCCAGTGGTACTGAAAAGTGCATAGAAGATTACATTCTTATTTTAGTTACAGTATAGTTTGTGTTTTCAGTTTTATAGTTGTTATACTGCCATTCATGATTAAATATCACTAAAACTTTACGAAGAGAAAACAAAACAAAGCCAAACAAAGTTTGTCAATCCTAATTCATATAAGATCAAACTAAAATATTATAATGTGCTTTTAAACAAATTTTAACAATATAAAAAATTAAAGTTAAACACTCTTAGTCTCTAATGAGATTTGGATGGGAATTATAATGTCAGGATGCCTCAATGCAGAATTCCCTATCAACTATACATACAATTATTACGCAATGTACTATTTGAAAAAAAAGTGTACAGTACAATGATGAGCTTTATACTTGAGTAAAACCATTCTAAAATCAATTCTATGTTTTACAGGTTTTGAATGTATTTGTGCTAAAAATGGTTAAATGTGGTGACAAATGTTATTTTAACAACATTTATTTAATGTTGAACCCTTTATAGAATCCACAATTATACAGTAATTATAATAATCAAATCCAGATAAAATAATAAATTAGCCTCTTAGTCATTCTGCTTTACAATAAATAATGCCCCCTTACCTGTGTCAGTGGGAGTGTAAATAGATTTGTCTGTCTGCACAAATATATATCCAGACTGGAAAGAAACCAATACAGCTGACTCCACTACATGTCCTCCAAATTTGGCTTGCAGGTATACATACTGATTAAGCTTGGATTCTTTATTAAATGATCCCTCGGGAATCTAGATTGAGAAAAAAAAATGGTGCATCTACTTGTATAGTTGTTCAAGTAAATAATTAGTATTCACGGGACCGTACCATAGTCAAAATGGCACTCATTCCTTATTGCATTATCTGGTCATTTCATATACTGTAATTTTCTTTAAAAAGGATCAAGCAATGACTTTTGCTATATCCTGTCTGAACAAGGAGTCATCAATCTTTTAAGTCTTCTGCACAGGAGGGTTGAAGACATGCAGTTACTTTCATCTGATTTCATTCAATTTAATATTTTGCTGTGCGACAAGCTCCACCGTATCTGACAGTAAAATTAGTGCTGATTGAAAGAGGGTTCTGATTGAAAGCCTGCTAGTTTCTGATAGTGCCTGGCAAGTTTGAGGAATTATTGTTTCTCTGAAATTTAAGAATCTCTTGGCTGTCAAAGACCCACCCTACCAAAGCAGTACAGAGCAGGTAATAAACTGTCTCTTTTTCATGTTTGGAATTTAGGTTTTAAATAATTTCCAACTTTGTGTGTGAGAAACTCTACCAGGGTTCTCAGGGTTCAGCATACAAGGAAATTCATAATGAACATCAAATTAAGTACAGGAGGCTTTATTGCAGGTTTTTCCATGGCTTGTTAAAATAATGTTGAAAAAACCCACTTCCATCTACATGCTGTTTTGATACCAAACACAGAACACATATGTATAAGTCAATATGTATTTTGGCTGTTACATTCTTCACTGTGCAAAGTCTATCTTCATTAAAATATCAGGGTAATCAGGGTAACTGATCGATGCAATAGTGTTTTCCGAATCATACAAATTTCAGGCCTTTCCAAACCAAACGAAGTCAACAGCCAGTGAAGACCAACAAGATTTGGTTAATTTTCATTTAACAACAAATGGAGGAACTGTTATTTCACCATTGTTTTGTACATCAATGTCTGTAGTACAAACAACACTGAATAGCTTGCACGTGTAAGTCCTATAATACAAGTAATACTGCATTAGATTTGAAACAACTATAATTCTAAACATAATGTCTCTCATGTTCTGGTACTGGACCAAGGTTCCAGTATTTATAAGCCCTTTCACAGGTGATTGTTAATGGTGAACTCATCAATTGGTGAAAATACTCTATGGTGTTCAGCAGTATCACAAAACACTATGTAGTTATCTCTGTGTTATATTGTGCTACGTGGCATAGTGGACATTTTCTTTTTTATGTCTGTAAACCATAATAATAGGTAAATGGTTTATTCCATTCTGGAAAGTAAACACAACATTTCGGCCCTGGAGCCTTCTTCAGGTGTCAGACTGAAACGTTGTGTTTCCTTTCTTAACTTTTCAGCATGGAATAAACCCATTACCTGTTCCTTTGCAGCCTACGCATACTGACGCTACCTACAGTACTTGAACTACTTCAACCATAAAAGATATACTTTTATATGGCAGTACTGAGTGTAATAATCCTAATATTCTGGATTTCATATTATTAATTGACTACTACACGGGGTCCTTATTATTAGTCATAGATGTATTCCAGGAAAGTGCAATGAGTAGTGGCAGTCGGTATAACAGGAATTTATAAGAAGAAGAAGAAGAAGAAGAATTCATTAAATCATTCAAACAAATTCTTTAAATTGTATTTGTGATGACTAGTAAGATTTTTTATGTCTTAAGAAACAATGGAAAAGGGTGGATTAAGATACAACCAAAATATTTGTATGTACAATTTGAATGTACAATTCAATGAGATTTGAAGAGGATAGTTCGTGATTTTTGAAATCAACAAATTATGAACAATAATCCAGCCAGTAGTACTGTATGGTGCAGAGCTTTAAACTCTCACCAAAAAGATGGAGAGTAAACTCATGGGTTTTGAAAACAGTGTCTTAAGAGAATTACAGAGAGCTTTATAAGGACCCTGATATTGTTACTAGTGTCAAAGAAGACTACGGTGGTATGGCCATGTAATGAGAAGAGATCAAGACCTAATAAAAGAAGGTAGAATGTTGGACCAATAGTAGAAGAGAATATTGAGGGAAAGAGGTCACGAGGAAGACCTAGAATAAGATGGCTTGCCTCAGTGAAAGATGCCGACAAGAAGGAAATTGATGTAGATGCCTGGAGAGATGTGATGGAGGAGGCTAGTGGGGAAGGCAATCGACCAGCTTCGGTCCGAGGATCCATCTCAGTAAGCAGTAAGCAGTATTAAGCACTTTTACATTGTAATTCTTGAGCTTTGATAGTAATCAGGTTGCTGAAGAGTTTATTTTTTTCTGCGGACAAAACTACATAATTTCTTGGCGTTTTTTGAAGCTGTCTTGGTTAACATAGAGTCTGTCACACACATAATTTGAATTTATGTTAATTTTTTTCCTGGGGGTTAACCCAAAATGCCAGACTATACACTTCTGAGGTGTCACAGTCAACATCCCTCACCTAGACGGCACTCCACTACTCCACACTACTGTGTGGTTGCTGGTATGTTCTCCAGGTGTGCCTTGTTTTGTCTCCCTCTATTTAATCCCAGTGCCTCCAATGCTCATTTCTCACCATTAGGGTTCAGATGTTGCGAAGCGCGCCTATCACCAGGCTGTTGCATGCTTGAGGGCAAAGGCCTCATCCCCAATATCACCTGACCTCTGAGCCCGGGACCTGGAGGACCTCGCCCTGTTATTGTTTATGTGCAGATGCAGCTATTCAAAATGCGCAGTAAAACCGTGTATTGTGCAAAATTATCTAAAGTGTAGTGCTTTATACCGAAGTATAAGTATGTGATTGGCTGACCAAAATGACCGACAGGGGCACTCGTGGTGCATTGGTTGTTAGTGAAATGATTGCTTCATTTAATGTCCATGTTTAAATCTGCTTATACTGAATATTAATATTGAATTTTACAACTAAGGGGAAATGTTGGTAGCTGGGCATAAAAATAAGAGGAACATAACATCTGTGAACATCATAAAAATATTAATTTAGGAATTTAGGCTGTTAGTGGTAGTTTAATTTAAAAATACACAACAGTATTCCACTTCATAAACATTTTAAGCATCAAAATCTTTCATTCGGTTACATGCTGTGGTTATTTTATAAAAAAATGTACATGCTCCTTCTGACTATATTAAGTTTATATACTTCATAAAACGTTATAATGTTTTACTCTTTTCTATGAATACTTGCCTCGTTATTGCAGTAAAAAACGCATACTTTTTAGAATTTGATTAATAGGGAATATAATATGTAATCCCGTATCTAAATAAATTAATAATTATATAATTATATTCATGTAACTCAAATTATTACAATAATATGATTACTTGTAAACTTTTTGCCTGCCCTTTACAGTTATAGCTTAAGTTGTCAAGCAGCATGTTGGTGTAATGGCTTTGGCATATAACTTGCATGCTGGAGGTTGGGGGTTTGAACCCAGATCTTGAGTTTTTCTTTTAACAAATAAACATTTCTTTAAAAAACTAAAATAATAAATATTATCGACACTATATTGAATTTGTTGGTATTTCTAAATATGACAACACATTCAAAGTTAAGTGATTTAGTAATAATAACTAATAATTTCAAACTTGCTTGTATTTAAAAAAATATTTAGTTTAGGGTGATTTGTCACTGTTTTCACAAACTTCAATGTATTAAACGTCTATTTTTGAGACAGGGTGTTCCAGACCTCTGTTTAATTTCTGAAACTCCCTCTATATTCCATGTTTAACTAACACAACAAAGTTCCAGGGTCATATGGCGTACCAGCTGGCTGCACTCTACGTATCACTCCTGGTACATGAACCACATTTTGAGAACCACTGGTTTAGACAGTTCTGCTCGAGGGATGGCAAGGAATTTTCAGTAGCATGCTCCGTTGTCATTGTTGCTGTTTAACATAAGGCAACCAGCAATCAAATGTCCTGTTTTTTCTTTACACTCATTTTTCCATACTGTTTTAAAACTTGAACAAAGATGTGCCATATGCAAACAGTGCAATGTTGTATAGTTTTAAAGTCACTACAGTATTGCTTGTGGGAAATTAATTTATTTATACTGCATCAAAGCTTAACTCATTCACAGTGCTCGACATTACAAACTCAGAGTTATAAGGAACATGTTAAAATATTTCCAAAATAATCACAAGTGAACGAGTTGAGGGATTTGATAATAATAGAGAAATCATAACAATATCCCCAAGTTGTTTCATTCTAATTATGCAAGCCAACTGAAAGAAGGACACTTAAATCAACACGAAAAGACGTTATAAAAATAAATCAGTTAGAAACACTTTTTACGCACAAAAAATCATTAGTTTTTTTTTGCGCGATCAGCTTAGAGTCGTTGTGTAAGCTGTTAGTTCTTTTTACTCCTTAAACTGTTTAAACACTTTAATTTTGTAAACGCAACACACATTCCATACAGAAATAAACTAATGTTTTTAAAGGTTGCTGACAAAATAGCACAACGTCCACTTACAGTAAAGACCGTTCTACAGCTTCTATTTTTGAAAAACATTTTGAAAAGTTTCATCTATACAAATACCACAGACTATTCTTGATTGTTTTTTCTGAATGTCACACTTAGTTCAATACTTTAATTACATCTAAATAAGAAAGTCGTGTTAGCATAAACTATTAGGAATCAATAATATTAAAATTCGCAATGTAATAATTTGTTGCACTTCTTCCACATCATGTAAAAACATTAATTTACAAGACTTTGTTCCAGTATATGTTGAATATGACTATCAAAAAATAAGTAAAATACAAACTTATAAAGTAAAAAAATGAAGGTAAAATATAATTTGAAATTAAGACAGGATACACTTTTTTCTGTGTCTCTTCCTGCTCTCTCTCACCCGCTTTGATTCAGACACACAATGATTAAAAATGGGAGGGATTGTTTCATGCCAGTCAATGCATTATCATCTCACACCAGAGGGAAGGGAAAAAGATGGTAGTGCTTGTCATTTAAGTCTCCATCACTCTGCACAGTGATATAACTTTTATATAAACAAGATATAGTATCTTGTTCAATTAAAAAAAAACGTATTTTGAATTAATCAAATCCCAGGAGTGAGTTCATAAAGCCAGAATTATGTACTATTCCTACATAACACCTGCCCATCTACTGTAAAGGTTTCAGTGCTTTGTTTGTGTATGTTCCAATCGCAGCAGGGGCAGGGTGTGTTGGGAAACATTTAGGCTGCAATTGAATTGGGGTTCTGTATTCTTCACACCTGAAACATTGTTTTCTCTGAAAGCGTTTTCTTCCCTCTTTAGCTGATCCTTTGCAGCCTACACATGCTTACACAGCTCACTACGTGAATGCTCGTTCTTGGCTGAGAAAGTTTTAGAGAACTTTACAATCATTTTTATTTTCAACAAGTTGAAAATATGACATTTACATTGGTGTTTTTATAATTTTTACACTTAAGCATATGGAGGAGTGTCAGCTGTCAAAGACAGCTCCCCCCCTTCCCCCCACGGATAGACTGATAAAGCAATTTTGAAGTGTTAAGTATCCAGCCGTTGCAAAAGGTTCAATTGCAGCAGCCACAAATAAATAAAAAATAAACTTTTTTTTCTCCTGATGGTAACTGTAACAAATTGTCACGTTTCACATCCTTGCAAAACAATCATGACGTTCTCATCCAATCAAAGGTTTGATGTTTTTTTTTTTTTGAAACCGTGATCTTGATATGCAGGTGTGAAATAGAGTTAACAGCTTCATATTTTAAAGGTTATTAATAATATCTTCTGTGTCATATTTACATTGGACTGTTCTTACAAGTGTAAAAAGAGGCAATACACAATGTGTCTCCTTTATAACACTTCAGTTTACAGAGAACTTCCGCCAGAGTCACACAACATTGTACAATAATACCCTTCTTGTGTCTAATTTCCAGTGAGTAACCCTGTTACAAACGCGCATCGGTCCTTGGCGTCTCATCAAGCTGTTAGTTCTTACAAACGTATCAACGTTTTGTACCAATAAACAGGGGGGGCTTCACAGTGATTCTTCTTTGAACTCAACTGTGCTCCAGTAAATAATGTACAGTTTATCACCTTCTACAATGCTTCTAGTTTAGCAGGATTTGCGTGAAGTGCACATTGTTTAATGGGGATGACATTTCTCACGTCTATATCACTTTATGACACAGTCGGAGTGTCTGTTAATAAAACAGAGTGCCTTCCAATCCATATAACTCCTGAATGATTTCTTTATCTGTTTCAGCTAAATGAGGGGAATTAAATCACTCAGAATCTCAGAGTGTCAATTGTAAAAAGAACCCTTCTTCCCTCCTTTGTTTAACTTAAAGAATTTTGTGAAGAAATCCTCAATCACAATACTATCACTTAATTTATCCAGATACACAAATTCACGCCAGAGCCAACAACAAGGTATAAGAGTGAACTATTTTTATGTATTCACTATATAAGAAACAAATCCAAAGTAATACTCTAATTGCGCTTTGAACCATTTGGTGCAGTGGTTTGTCCATTATCACTACAAAGACAATAAAAGTAAAAAAAAAAAACGAATGTCAAAATATTTCCAAAATGTCCACTTGTGATACTCTAGCTGCTTAGTTACATGATTCCTTATTCATATACATAACAGGAAGAGAAGAGAATGTGATTTTTTTTCTGTATGAGATGTGTGTTGCGTTTATGAAATTCAAGCATTTTAAATAAAAAGTAAAAATCTTACAGCATATACAAAGATTCTAAGCTGATCATGAGCAGGAAAAATCACCCATTTTTTGTGCATAAAAAGTGTTTTTTTACAGCTTTTAAAGTCAAGCAATGTTAGGCAGGGATAAATCATTGTATCTTATTTTGTATTTTGTTTTTAAAAATAAAAAAAATGTTTGCCCATCGTGCTGATAGGCTGTTCTCCGATTACTTGCAAATGTGAAAAAATAACCATTCCCCCCTCTCTTGTTTAACTTAAAGATTTCCATGAAGAAATGCTTAAACACAAAACCATCATGTATAATAATTAATCCAGATACACTCCCGGACCAATTTTGCCAGACACAACCTCCCAGAGCAAAGCAGGCACCTGGGCAATTATTTTCGGTTTGTTTGTTTGGATGGCTACGATCGCACATTGAACCGCCAGGGTGTAGCTCAGTACGTAACAGTTATTACTACTACAAGGACAATAGAAGTTAAAAAAAAAAACGAATGTCAAAATGTTTCCGAAACGTCCACTTGTGATACTTAGTTACACAATTTCATATTCATATAACTATCAAGTGATGTTAAATCACTACATGTATCTTTTTACAATTACAGCAAGTGGTATTCTTACTCTTAAAATTGATGTTTTCTAATTAAAGGATAAAACATTATAACTTTTTATGAAGTACAGAATATAAGCTTAATAATGTTAGAAAATGCACATTAAAACTCGAACCAACTGTAAGTTACCAAGTTAAAGACTTTGATGCATAAAATATTTATGCATAATTAAATTATTTAGGATGAATGTGGAAGGATGTGTACTTTTGTTCAACTGAGCAATCTTGCTTATATAAAATATACTGACTTTTTAATGTTTAATGATTAACATGCTGTATTACACAGTTTTGAATAATTAAAAGTCTAAAGAGTATACAACTTAAATTCTTAATTGGAAGAAGGTTGTTCCTCAGCAGTGACCGGGATTCAAAACTGTGGGTTTTCTGGCGAAAGCTCAAATGCTGTACATGAGATGTTAAGGTTTATTAGCTCTGGTGGTTTTATAAGGTGCTTCCAGATACTATTATCCTATTTCAATTAACATGCGGTATGCTGCAGTATTTAACGCAGCATACCTTGCTCATTTTGAATGGCTGGATCTGCGTGTTTGTGTTTTCCCCTTTCCAAGGATTTTAACCTTGTGCCGTTTGAGGATGGATCTCACGGTTTTGGACTAATGGATTGTGCCCTGACCCTCCTTTGGACCCACTCGGATTTAGATGCCTGTCTTTATTTCCCTGTTCACCATTTCACATAATAATAAGTAATAATTAATAATCGCTTACACTTATATAGTGCTTTACAGGTAATGGGGACTCCCCTCCACCTGGATGATGCAACAGCAGCCATAGTGCCCTAGAACACTCACTCAGCTATCAGTGGGGAGGAGAGCAGAGTGATGAAGCCAATTCATAGATGGGGATTATTAGGAGGCCATGATTGGTAAGAACCAATGGGAAATTTGGTTACAGTTAGAAGGTTACACCCCTATTCTTTTTGAGAAACGCCCTGGGATTTTTAATTACCACAGAGAGTCAGGACCTCGGTTTTATGTCTCATCCGAAGACGGCGCCTGTTTACAGTATAGTGTCCCCATCACTATACTGGGGCATTAGGACCTGTTCCAGCAGTAACCTTAGTTTTTCCCAGGAGGTCTCCCATCCAGGTACTGCCCAGGCTCACACCTGCTTAGCTTCAGTGGGTTGCCAGTTCTGAGTTGCAGAGTGATATGGCTACTGGCTTAAGTACTGTCAGTTACTTTGTTGCACTATTAAACCCCTGTGTGTCTTCCCCGAACTACGTCTCCTGTTTCCTCCAGCTCTTACTGTTTCACATAGGGTCTAACATAACACCCAAGACGGACTGCTAAGCCAATCCATAAAATGAGGATTTAAGAGAAGCAATTGACTAAGATGCTTATTTAATTTAATCTGACTTTAGGATGTGAGTTTGGGCTGTCACAATTATTCTAGAATTTCAATGAATGATGAGAAAGGGAAATATATAATTATTTTATGACATAGTGTTTATACATTGCATACCATGGTCATAGAGAGGCCCAAACCAGTTATTCTTATAGGTTACATTAAATGGATTGTTAAATTGTCTAAATTACTTAATTGAACAAACACCCTCTTTAATTGTTTAATAGATAATAATTCAGTTGTTTTAGGCTTTTAGAAGGTTTAAAGGATACCAATACAGCATGCTGGACTGGGCATATCAAAGATCCCCCTGCTGTATACTGTGTTATAACCTCCTAAAACACAAGAAGGGCTCAACTGTTAGCTGCTGTGTTTGACACTCACCTTAATTTTGTGTGTGGCTTGGTACTGATCTGGTTTCAGAATAACACTGCCTACATAAAGCTGCTGCTTTTTTCCTGGAAAATCAAACACAAGAATGTCCACGTTCAGGTCTCCACCAACGTAATCATGAGCTTGAAGGAGTATATTTTCTTCACTCTCCACTCGTAGGACATTGGGAGCAGTAAGAACATAACTGGTGAAAACAGAAACAGAAACATTAAATATTTTACACCCACTCCAAATATAACCCTCAAGGAATTCAGATGCTGGTTATAGATACAATATGTGAAATTAGTGCAGTTTTTATGTTTCAACAATATGCTTCTCATTCAAAGAAGGGTCCGTGCATTTACTCAAATGGATTTCAAAACAAAATTTGTTTTGGGAAATATGTTTCAGTTAACATGGGTGATTCATGTCTGCTCTGTAGTTCAAATCTTTTATTATGTAATTTAATTCCATTATATGTTTACACACATTTTGTTGAAATATTTCAACCAAACACAGCTAGATATTTTCTCTCAAAAACTAATGACAGACAAAACTAGTTAAATTTTTATCTTTATCTTTTTTCTGGAGATTGGAGTATGGGCTTAATAGAGGACAGATTTTTAGATGATCTGTAATAAAATAATACTATTTTAAAATATTTTACCTCAATATGATACATTTAAACAATTACTAAAAAGGGAAGGTATTTTGACATATTTCACAAAATTTAAATGATCTTTTTTTTCAAAAATAACAGTTTTACAAAAACAGATTCAGTATAAACATTATATAGATTTTCCCAAACATCTGTTATATTTAAACCTTTACTGCTAATAAATCTATGTTCCTTGAAATTTCCTTTATCAATTTCATTTAGCTCTGTAAGTAATAAGCCACTGAAATGTAAAAATGTGTACTCTTAAAACACATAAACATTATACTTACTGCATATTTTCTCAGAACACAAACATCTATTCGTATAAATCATCAGTCAAATAAATAAACGTTTATTTTTATTCACATAAATAAACAGTATAAAAGTATACTCACAGAGGCTGACAGCTGACAGTTGTTGGGTAAGATAAACTCAGCACAGTGAGGCATACCACAAACACATTCATCTTGCTGAACTGGGTATGCCTTACTAAGCCTGCATAGAGGGCAGCCTTTGTATTTATACACAAGATTACATAAAGAGTTTGGCAATAAGACTAACCTTTAAACAGAAAGGAGGATCCTAAGAATGTCTCCAATTCCAAAATAATCACCCCCCCGAGCAACTTAAACCAGAATTTCTATTGAGAAACATTAGAATGCAGTAGAGGTGTTTGGAAATTAAATTAATCCAAATCAAGTGAACTGAAAACAATTGAATCATTGTAAACATTTAGTGTGGTTTCTTCTTGTTCCTTCACTTTGTTTGCCTCAAAAAGTTTCAACAGCTAAAAACATTAAAACCACCATGCTTCTCTAAAAATGGGTCCATTGAATACATACTATTCAACATGTGTTTCAATTTGTAGTACACATGTCTTCTCTCCGATTTCTGTCTTCTGTGAAAATCAAAAACAAATTAGTTTAAGTTAAAATAAATGGATATTCTGTTTAACAGTGATTACTCAGTGATCATTTTTTTCTGAAAGGCAATTATATGCTAGTAGAACTTTTAGCAACTTATATCCCCTTTTATGGCAGCACAGTGGTGCAGTAGTTAGCATGCTGCCTTGTAGTGCTGGGGTCCTGGCTTTAATTCCAAACTTGGATTGCTATCTGCATGGAGTGTGTATGTTTTCACCATGTTTTTGTGGGTTTCCTCTGAGTGCTCCAGTTTCCTCTCATAGTCTAAAAACATACTGGTAGATGAATGTGTGTGTCTACAGTATGTGTCTATCTGCCCTGCGATGGACTGGCATCCCATCCAGGGTGTACCCTGCCTTGCACCCATTGCTTGCACCCATAGGCTCTGGCTCCCCCCGTGACCCTGAATTGGAAGAAGCAGTTAGAAAATGGATGGATGGGAATCACTGTTACAGAGATGAATAAGAAAATGAATTGGTGGGTAGAGTTTTTTACGTTATATGTAATTATTTCCCAGGTGTTTTCTATCTAGGAAAAGGATAACATTAATTCAATTTTTATTCAAATCACTGACTACAATGTTTAATTGTTGTAGTCAGATTATAGAGTTGAATGTTCAAACATATTTCATGCATCAAGAAAGTCTGCACACAACTGAGCATGTGTACATATTCATGGATTTTAACAATGTGCACACTCTTGCAGAGTGTAGAAGAGGTGCATGGTGGGTGAATAGGGTAGGCAGTCATCACATGCACAATGTGTATCCATATGTTGTAATATATAAATATGTGAGCATTTGTGCAATCAGTGCAAAATGTGGAACAATGTATAGGGTGAGGACATATCTGTATTGCAATGTGCAGTCAAGGAGCTATCAATGAAAACTAATTTTGATCTCTATCCACACTGTGTTTCTGCCTATCATTGCTCTTGAACTTTCAGCCATGGCTCCTTACTGAACATAGCATTGTGTCCATTTGCAGTTAGAATGTCTAACTTGTTTCCCAGTTACCAAGAAGATATGTATCATATGTTCTAGTACAATATTGGATAGGACAATTTACTGATACTGAAAGTTCTGATACTGAAGATGTCCAGGTGTCTCTACAGCAGTTTCGGATGCATTTCTGATCCCAGGGATGTCTCATTTAGATATACAGTACCAATCAAGTGCATGCATAGCAACACATGATATTATCAGCCTGCATGCCAAAGTGTCTAGTGAAACTGGACTTTACCATTGACATTCTTGCCTTTAATATTTTAATACTCTTTTTCTGACTACCTTTTGGCTGTGAAGTCTTTGTGACATTACCATTATTAGTGCAGATTTACGCTAGCTTTTTTTTAACTATGGAATAACAGTTACAGTAACATGAACAGCTGCACAGATGAAAAAAAAAAGAAATTTGTTAAACTTTCTGCATGCCCTAGGACAAAATTAATTCAATACTGCAAATAGAACTAATCAAAGTTCAAAGTTTATCATATATGAAAATCTGGTCAATGTGGCTTTGGTTGTTATTTGTGTTTACGTATGTTAATATTTAATTACATTTCCATGGTCATTGTGAGTAGTAAGAAACAGTAAAAGTATCTTTCTGAACTGATATTTTAATGTTGATGGGCAGTGCGGTGGCTAAGGATCTATGCCTGTGGCTGGAAGGTTGCTGGTTTGAATCCTGCGGCTGGCAGAGGAATCCTACTCTTCTGGGGCCCTGAACAAGGCCCTGAACCCCACCTGCTCCATGAAGAGCAAGTTGGGGTATGAGAAAAGACAAATTCCTAATACACAAAATTGTAGATGGCCAATAAAGTGATCTCTCTCTCTTAAAGTGATCTCTACAGTATATGTTCAATTTGTTCTGCATTTGTTTAGGGAATTGCTTAACAAATGCTGCATTTTTGCAGCATGTCACCCAGCCCCACTCATAAGGGCATATTTTAATATTTTAGTATCTTAAGATTTAAATGTATATATTTTAACAATTTTTCATATTAATGCTTTGAATTAATTGCTTTTGTGACACTATTGTACACGCTGCCAGTTAGATGAAGACTTCATTTGAAAGATTTGTAATTGACTGTCAGCCATAAAGCAATATTATAGAGAATGATAAGCACATCTTCACCAGTGACATTCTTTGTCTACTAATGAGTAAGTTTATAGTTAAAAACTTATAACTGCTCTAGATTCCCTTACCCCAGGCAATTCTTCATGCTGCAACGAAGAATTATTATCATATCTCTCTGAGGAAAGATAAAGAAAAACAACTACACCAATGCAAAAGATGAAATTTCTGAAACAAAATCTGAGAAATGTGAAAACTAATCCTATATTCAATATAAAATTCTATTAAAAATCAATTTTGACACTCCAAATTAAACATTCTTAACAGGCAATGTAAATCTTAAATGGTTTTCTTTTTGGAGAAATACCATCTGGGATGTGACTAAAAAACTCTTCTATCTTTACTCTGGAATAACATATATCACCAGGCTAGGGCTATCTAGCTAGGGCTCTCTAGCTTTATTTTCTCTCACAATATGTTTTTAAGGCCTTTGTAAAAAATAACTAGAGATATATGCAAATGTATACCAATTCCATTTTATTTTAATTTCTCTCAAAAGGACTTGAATTTGTGGTGAATTTATTGGCCCTTGTAAGGATAACAAATGGATTGCTGATAAATGCAGAATTCCAAGAATTAGGCTAAGGAAAAAGGAAGGAATGTCTTTCAGTGTGTGGTCTCCATGACTGAAACTTAATTACTGTCAAAACTCTCTTTCTCTGTCAATTTCTAATTTTCCTTTTCTCACAAACTGTCTATAGATGGGTTTTATGCAAACCAATTAATACAAATGATACAAATTTTTTGTTTTACTTTTAATATTTTTTTAGCTTTACAAATTATGCTGTACATTTTCAGTTCATCATGTTACTTATTCTTTGATATATTTTTCTGTGAAGTGATTTAATAACTATTTTGTAATGAAAGGCACACAATAAAAAGTTTCATCTAACCATCTATTTTCATCCAGTTCAGGGTTGAGGGAGAGTTGGAGCCTACCCCAGCAAGCCATACTGTAGGTGCAAAGAGGAATACACCCTGGATGGGACACCAGTCCAACATAGTCAACACACAGACAAAAACCAGGGCCATTTTTTCCATTAACCTACCAGTATGTGGTAGGGTAAATGTACAAACTCCATCCAGATAGCACCCCAGGTGCAGAATTGAACCCAAGGCCCCAACACTGTGAGTAGCTACAAGTTGATGTGTTTGTATTTACAATCTTTGTAGAATAGGGGGAAATTTAAAACCTGTAGGATATTATCTAAGTACAAAGGTATCTTCAGAAGTTAGTCAAAATATTTGGATTACAAACTCAGAAAGCAAACACTGAGGCAATACATTTGTACAGGGAAAGCAGACTAGACTGAAATATATTTGGATTAATTCCATGAATGAGCATTATTCTAGTGCAAGTATCTCCAACCCTGGTTCTGGAGAGTCCCAATCCATTTTCTTTTATGTTACTCTAAATATCCTGATTTACACTGAAATTGCTTTGTTCGGTTAAAGAAAAAATGAACCATGGTGAATAAAAGCTACTCAGATTTTGTCTCACATTTTCTCAGTTTTCTCACAGTTTTATATAATTTAACAATTCATTTGCTTAACTGGTCACAGTAAAATTGTTCCAATTTTCCAAAAGTCGATTATTTACAGATGACCTAAAAACATGTTGGAATGGGACAAAGGAAGTCTATTTATTGGTTAACTTAACAGTTTACTGGTTAAGAAAATAACTTTTTAAGAGACAAAATACATTTTAGAGAGGCTATGAAATAACCAGAAGAATACATAGTGCACAGAGCTGCAAGTACACAATAAAAATGCATTGAAAAGTTAAAAAGAGACAATTTTATAATTGTTTTTTAGGAGCACTGCAAGTAGTTAAACACAAAACTTCTCAACTTTTTTTTAAAATTTTGTAACAGGTATTATTACAATATATTGTAAATATAACAAACATTTTAGCATGTTATTGAGTAAGAAAGAAACCAATAGAATTCCTTGGGTTCAAGCTTCTATGCTCGATACTGAACAATCTCAGCATAACAGGAAGAAGACAATTCAATCCAAAGCGATTTACATTCGTACTTATTTACTCAACATGGAATTCTACTGAAGAAATCAGAATAGTTATCTGGGTTAAGAATGCGACTGCAGCACTACACCGAGGATATCAATCCGCAGATTTAAAGTTCTTAAAAAAGAGCCCCAAACATGACACCATACTGCTGCCTTGTGAGAGGACTGCTGTTTGTGATGCTGACACACCATCTGTCTTATTATGTCTTCATCTCATGCTTTAGGTTTGTATATTTTATTGGTAGAGTGATTTTTTAATTAGTGGTTGTTCTTTCTTTATTTTCTTAATATATTTTAAAATAATTTTTGTCTGATTCACTTACTTTAATACTGTTTGCTGCAAGTTTCAAGGTGGCTGAGACTCATCAGCTGGGATCAGTTTTCCCTGTCTTCTTGGTGCCACTTGCTTGACTACCCA